TTTAATAATTATAAATAAACCGTGATAAATTACTTTTTAAATAATCAAAATATTTAACAGTGGATAATATTTTGCTTTACAGAACAACAAGTCGTCGAGGTAATCTATATATTTAACAGAATTAGGAATCTTTTTATTCTAAAGTAAGAATCTTTACAAAAAGAAGACATAAATAATAATTCTATAAAAGAAATATTAATTTAAAAATATTTAAGAATAAAATAATTGTTTTTTCCTGATACTTGCTCTAATTCAATATCTAGTCCAACTTCAGATCAATACTACTTAACACACTAACCTATTAGTTGCGTGTTCCTTTAAAAATAAATAAGAGAAAAAGTCACTTCTATAGCCATTAAGATTCATCACCATCATTCATCATTTGAACTCGAAGATTTAAAGATTAATTATTATTAAATAAATATGTTTTTAAAATATTGATTAATAAAATAACAATAAAAGATAACGCTTTATTAGATTTAAAATTTAATAAAATTTAATTAAATAAATTCTATTAAAATTGATGTTTTTTTAATGTTCCATCCTCGTTTTTATCTATAAATATTTTTAAAATTATTTTTTAATCAATTTTAATGAGGAAAGAACTAATTTTTCGATTGAATTATGTAAAATTTAAGTAGTTTTATATAAAGTTTTCTGTTGTAAAATTAAAATTAAAGTAACATTTACATATAGTAATATTCAATTTAAAAATCAATTTAAATAAATAGATTTTTTATAGTTTATAGAATATTTAAGAACTAATATTGCAATATTGATAATATTAGACATTTTATCATGTTTATTCTCATATATTTATTTAAAATATTAAAAGTACGATTGTATCCTCTCCCTGTAAAACTAATGTATTTTAATTATTATTTGAGGATATTATAGCCAATTTTATGCTTAATTAAAATTGCTGTATTAAATTGTAAAAATAGACTACTTATTATAATCATTACAAATGAAAAACTGTATTTAGGATTATGATGTTATATACAATTTATATAAATATGTAACCAAACACGATACAAAGAAATTACATAATGGAAGTAGGTTATCAATGTCAGTTTTTTTCTTTTTAATTTTAAATTAATTATTTCAAAATTTCGACTATGAAGTCGCTCATCAATCCTCTTAATTTTCTTCAAATTTTATCATTTTTAACGACTTTTAAATAAGGTCAGCGCATTGTTCGTCCGTTTGTCTGTTTGTATGTGCAAAATTAACCTCTGTTTCTATCAGAAGTGATGCATTTCATTAAATTAAATTTTATTTTAATTATTTACACTTATGAAAAATTAGTAAGTATAAATATGTATTCATAAATTTGTCAATAAAAATAATAAGAAAATTATTATCACTAGCTGAAATATGAATTATCACCACATTTATTTAATTTTTTTTAGAAAAGTTTGTTTTTTTTTTTTTTTAGAAAAGAAACAACCACAAACTTACTCAGTTATTGATCTAAGTTTGAATATCTCTATGCAAAAATAAATAAATAAATGAATGAATAAAAAAATAAAGCTAGACCTATATACCTTTATCTATATTTAACATTATTATTTTGTCAATGATACGATAGAAAGCCGTACAACTTTTTTCCCAGCAGTTATTACTAACCATTTTAGTGTTTGACCTACTTGGAACAGTTTCTGTATATCGGTAACAAACTGAAAACATCTGTATGTACTCAAAATTATAAGATTAAACGAAAGGTGTGTTATATGTGTTTATATTTTCGAATCACAAACATAAAAATGTATATAAATAAATGTTTAAAAATTTATCCTACTTAAAATATTTACTATAAAAGTGATTGCTTCAGTTTAAACTAGAACAAACAGTTGTATTCATATCTCAAAAGCATTACAAAACTTATTCATGCTATTCTAAATAATTATATTCATCAAAACAAGTTTCCTGTTAAGTATTATTTAGTTATGCTTATATATATATTTTTTTTCTATAAGAATATTTTCAAGATTAGCAACCTGATTGCTTATTTAATTACATTTTCAAAAGCTTGAAGAATGGCTTGTTTTATTGAATTATAACTTCTAAATTCATTGAGTATGTCTGTGGTATTATGTCTATCATTGAGAATAATTTATATAAAAATTACATTTAGTATGAAAGTAACTAGAACAAGGGCAAATGAAATAATAAATTTGGCAGATCAATATAAAGTAGGTTTATTCTGAGAAAAAATCATAAATATGTATTATTGTTCTATTTTATATCCTTTTATAAGTTATTATATAATTTATAATATTTCAATATTTTTTAATATATAATTTAATACAGATTCATTTATTTATAATAAAATATGTATCTTATATATGTAATATTTCAAAATTGCTTTGTATTTTGGAGAATTTTTTACACAATTTATAAAATTTATTTTATATCATGTTTCTTTTATAAAGCTTTCACAACATATTTCATATATTTTTTATATTTTAAAGTTTATACAACTTCATTACAACACTTTATTTTACTTTATATAGTTATTATTTTTGCTATACTTATTTAAAGCTGTTCAGTATCAATATACAGTATCAATACAGTTTACATTTTAAGCATTTTCTTCATTTTATTCCTCTTTCTAATATATTTTTTAACATTTTATTTAAGGCATATGCCTTTTTTATTTTATATATATATATATAACTATATATTATAAATGATATATGTATATATATATATATATATAAGATATCACAATACACCTTTATAATTACTATTAGTTATTATTTAATTTTTGAATATATTCATGCATAATTTAATACAGTGTTAATTGTATATTATCTCTATCTAGTGACATGGCACTTAAATATCAACCTATATAACTGTTTTTTTTTTTTTTATGTAAATTTAAGCTTTAATAACTGAAAAATATTTTTATAAGTAAACCATACGATATTTTAATTAAAAAAAATATATATTTTGACTTGTCATAATCTTGAAAACAGTTGTGACTTAAATTAATTCAATTCAAAATAAACCTTTAATGGCTTTCAGCTTTGCTCGTTAAATTGCCTGTAACTGTTCTGAATATCACACATATTTTGAAATGTTTTTTAAGCAATAAAAAATTAATCATTGATATATATCCTTTTATATATTATTATTATTTTTAAAATATATATTTTATACTTTGCATTAAAGTATTCATAATATCTTATTGACTTTGTCACAATAATCTTCTTGATTGACAACACAATAAGTAAAAAAATAAATAAAATTAAGATAAACATTTAAGTAAAAGTATAAATTTTTAATTAACATTATAATTAAAATATATTTAAGGACTAATTTAAAGAAACATTTTTTTTTTTGATAAATCAAAATTACTTATTCGAAAATAAATAAAATATTAATATAGAAAAGCAGATGTTTCATAACACAATGACATAGGAATTTATGATAAGGTTATATCAGTTTGTCATTGTAAAATATATACATATAAAAAATTAATAATCTCTGATAATATGATGCATAATATAGAAATATCGACAGAATAGATTTATAAAATTTTTCTTCCATATTATAATGCTATTCTATGCACAGGTTGAATATTAATAATATAAAAGCTTTCACCATGATTATCATCTTGGTAACTCAGTAAAAATGCTGTTTCATCTATGTAAATGCGTGTTATTATATTTAAAAACATGTTTTTATAGAATATTTTGGCTTAAAATATCCCTTTTTTAGTTTTAATTTTCATATCTGTATGTATATTTTGTCTGATGTTAAGTACTGTACATGCAGTGTTGTATTCCTATAGTGCGGAGTTCACTTAAAAAAGTTCTCCTTCTCCTTCTACGGTTTAATATATATTAAAATTCTTTTAATTTATTATAATTTCATCTGATTGAAAATAGATAAAAACATTTCTAAATGGAGAAACAATTGTAAAAATTATTATGTACAAGTACACAGGGTTGTTAAAATGATAATAATGATATTGTTATCTCATTCTTTCACAATAAAACTACACTTATAACAAATGTTCTATAATAGTTTGGTGTGAAATGAGTGCATGATACTTGTTGCTGCATTATAAAATTATAAAAGAGCAAGACTTGTTTATATCATTTCATTTTTTTTAAATGACGTATCAAAGGTTTATTATTTGTTTAAAAAATCATGAATCGCATAATACATTGATTTTTAGATTAATTTGTGCAACTGCGCTCTGAAAACAACGCAAAACAATCATTGGCATCCGGATTAGGAAGGCCATTTTTGTACTTTTATTAATTTTATTTCGGTTTTTTTTACTGTTTTTTCTTAAATTCTATACAACCCAAATACGAATTTCAAGGATAACAACTTTTACGATCATTGTAACAATATTATCGATACAAACAGGCGTATCTAATATACGTTAAAGAATGCGTTCGACGTTATGAAACTTAATAACGTATTTATTTATAATTAAAATTGAATTTAACTAATTAATATATTCAATGTTTTATATTTGATGTTACCAAATTTCATTTGGTAACAGGAAATCCGGACTCTGGCCTATTGATATGATAGCATTGAATGTGAAAGAAAAAGATTATTTTAGATTGGTAAAAAATAAAAATAAATATTTGAAAAATAATTAAATCGGAATATAAATAAATTTAATTTTTTATTTCGTTTAAACGAAATAAAAAAAATTAAATTAAATAGAAAAACAGTGAATCAAACTTTGTTATGAAATACCAATGACGTAGTTTAATTTTTTATCGTCACGTGGATTGTCGGGAACTATTCTAAACATGACGTCATCCTACCGGACTATATTTTTATAATAAAATCTCGTATAACGAAACTAAATTTAGATAGTTTTAACAAAGGAGATAATCGATTTAATGTAATATAGATACTCGAATGTAATAAAATACAGTTATCGCTTAAACTTTATTCCGTACTGTTACGAGATATTTGATAATTATTTGGCGTAGTAATACGCAAGCGGGTTGGCAATATAAATTAGTGGGTGTACGGCGGATGAATTACAAGTTATTCTAGGTTTGTTCTTGTCTGAGTTTGAAACATATTTTGTTAAAGTTTAAAGTATTCGACGAAATAAATCAAAATGGTTCACGGAGGAATGTCAATAATTAAATATCTAACATTTTTCTTCAATTTTCTTTTTGTGGTAAGTACTTTTATAATCTACGTCATTTTATGTTTTTGCGGAAAAAATTGTCATATGTTTTCGCGGAAAAAATTGTTTTATCGAGTTAACTTTTATAAATCATTTGACAACGTCTAGAAGAGTTTAATTTTAGATTAATGAATATTAAATGATTTAATTTCGTCCTTTTTAAAGTAGTAATTGGTTTAATTCGGGACGATTTCGAAATTTTGTCGGGTGTATTTGGAAATTGCGTCAAACAATAAAAGATTGGGAACCATTAACGTTATACTTGTATTAAGTTTCACTTTACATTTCACATAAGTTAACATGTTCATAACTATCGAGATTATATTTTTAATAATTCACTAATAATCTGATAAGCTTATACTGTATTATCTTTGGTGGTATAATAATGAGATAATGTTTTATAACTGAAATATAGTAAGAAATTTTGAGGATAAACTTGAATATTTTTGAAATTTTAAGTGTTTTATTCTAGCAATTTATTAATTAATAAAATGGTAAAATTCTACCTTTGAATGAGGGGCGTTGTATTGAAGATAAGTTATTGATAGTTATTGCTGTTTAATTATTAATTCTAATAATAATAATTACAACAAGCTCTATGGATGTGTTTTTATGTATATAATATATGTGTACTGTACATACATGGGATGGTTGAGACAAAGGCATTGGCTCATTGTTCTGGAGAACCTGTGTTCAGATTGGGTGAAAACATTATTCTTTTAGGTGGTTTTTATTTAGATATGTCAGATCTATGTCTAATCATTTGGCCATTCCATTGTGTTCTTGCCAAGTTCATGGTGATCATAATAAAAGGCATTAATGTCTGAAGACAAAGGTTAAAAGGCAAAAGCAAACTTTTATAAAAAAATTTTTAAAACACAATGTATCCATAATACATATATCTTCTAAGGTATCAAATTATATAGAGGTAGCAGAAAGATTTACATTTACCTCTGCAGTTTGGTGTTTTACTGAATTCCCTCTGCCACTGCTGCGTTCTTTTTGATATACAGTAGAGTCTCGAAAACTCAGCCTAATGTGGACTGAAGGCGGCCAAGTTTGTGAAAATGCCGGGTTATCGGGAATGGGGTTAAAAAAAATAAGTACGAGTATTTCCTCAGAAAATACTGTACTGTACTTTTATGTATTGTTTGCTTGAGAATACAACAGAGAATAAACTGCCTAAATACCCTTAAACAAAGGAAAAGTGCATACTTTATGAAGGCATAGAGCCTTTACTACATGAAAATGAAAATTAATGAATACACTGCGTACAGTAATTTACCTGATAAGACAGACCTCAGAAAAATACTTTAAGGCATAAAGCTGTCTATAATGAAAATTAATTAACTAAGGATTTTTTTGCCCTGCCAGGGTGTGGCTGAGTTATCCAGACTGCTGGGTTACCGAGTGCTGAGTTTTTGGGACTCTACTGTACTATAATTAGTATCAAAAAGAAATTATACTTTTTAAAGTTAGTATTATTTTAACTGGTAATAATGAAATCACATTCTTTTGTGTTAAATAACAAATGATAAAAATATCTCAAAAATGCAATTTTAACATTTGTTTATTCCTGTTGAACCAAATAAAACCTATAAATTTCCAGATGTATTTTAAATAAAATAGATTATGAATACAAATGTAATTGTGATTAAATTGTTACTATTAAATTACCAAATGTTCTGTAGGATTATCTAGCAGGCTGTATTAGTTATTAGTTGTAATAAAACCCAATAGATAATCTGGCAGATCATTTGGCAAAACAGATATATCAGGTAGTTGTTTAATTTAATTAATATATATATATATATGCTATTAAATTACGAATTGCAATTAAATTAGCATTTTATTCATACTTAATGTTTAGTAACAAATTTAGGATGAGTTATGAAATTGAGTTTTTGATTTTATAGTCTGCCTTTTCATTTTTTTATTATGAGGAAAATACAGAAAAAAGTAATGATAATATTTTCTGTATGCCACTGTTGGAATCTTGCTTGGATTGCAGATCATGTTGGAATGTTGCTTGGATTGCAGGCCATCTCTATACAAATAAACCAAAAGAACTATAGCTACAGGAAAGATCCTTTGAGATATGGAATTTCAAAACTTCCTTTCTACAGTGCTGAATGATTTGCAAAAATTGATTAAAGAAAAAAAAAGGAAAAATTAAACAGTATTCTACAACTATTTTTAAATTAGTTTTTTACAAGAGGAGACCGAAAGTATTTTATATTGAGGATACACATTATACACATTCACTACATAAAGAAGTTTTTGGTTTTTCCCTAAAAGTAAATACTATTTCTGATTAGGTCTCATCTTTCAGCAAAAAATTATAATGAGAAGACGATTGTTGTTAACATGTTAAAAAAATTTGTTTTTTTAAATTGTGTGCCTGAATAGTATAAAAATGGTATTAAACTATAAAATAATGATACAGTTAAGCTGATAAACAAAATTTAATGTTGATAGGGAGAAAAATTTACAATTACCCAAATCTTTGTACAGTGTGGTTTGAAAATATGGTGCAGAATGTTTAAAGTTCGGGGGATGCTTTACTTATGAACGTCTTTGATATGATCCAATGCTTTTACTTAATATTTTCTTTATTAAAAATGAGATTTCAGTTTTGCTTTCAGGATTAGGTGTTCACAATTTCCTCCTATTAAACAGATATTGAGTGCTAAACACAAACTAGAGATTTACAATTACCACTCACAATATTTACATTTACCTTACCTCTGTGGGGTAAATGTAAGTGGATTTTTTTGAGCATTTTTTAAAATTATATCTAGTAATATAGCCTCATAGGAATAATTGCAGATATATTTGTGATTAGTAAAGTAACAAAGCTAGTAAAAAGAAATAACCAACTATGATTTCTTAAGTTCTAAAAATTGCAAACAATGAGAAATCAATACAGTAGAACCCCTCCAGTCCGCCCTAGGCTAGTCCATCACTCCGATTAATCCGACCGTGGTCGGAGTCGAGAAACTTGCCCCGACTCGTCGGTGACTCACTGTCCATAGCGTTTTTCTGTGTTTGTTACAGTATGTTTTACATTGTGTGTACAGTACATGTACAGCTTTGTGTTGTTTTCAATATGTCAAGAGTGAAACGTAAACACGTTACTCTTTCATTAAATGAAAAATTAGCAGTGATACAAAGACTGGACAAAGGGAAAGATTGTTTATTTTACTTTTTTTCTGATAATCCTACCTTTTTTGCATTCCGACCATAACCCAGTCCCAAAGGTGACAGATTAGAGGGGTTCTACTGTACCAACATTTACCAGTACAATCATTCCAATCTTCATATGTTATCTTTATAAGGATCCTTATAAGCATGAGATACAACCTTACAGGATGTGAATTATTTCCAGAACAGAGATAAAGCATGATTAATTTGGCAAGATTTTTATGCAGATTTGCCCTATACCTCCGTATACAGTATATATATATCCTGATATAACTATTATAACAGATTATATATATATATATATAATCAGAATAGTTACATTAGATTTTTGTTGCATATTAATTTTAAACTAGTTTCTTAACATGGTGAAATTGAACCTACCAATAAGAAGTCACACCTTTCACACTGAAGCAGGCCACTTAATGTAGCTGAAAACATTTGTTTCATTAAATTTTATTAAACTACTGGAAATAGTGTGAAAGGTGTGACTTATTTTTATTTAAATTCTTTATATTAAATAAATAGTTCTTAAAAAATTAGCATGAATTGTTTTGCTAATGGAACTTCACAATCTGTATCTAATATTTCCTAATTTTATTTTTAACCATTTATCATTTTTGATCCCAAAGAATCATTTGAAGGAAATCATCTGTAGAAACAAAAAAACTGTAAAAGTACACTTTTTTTGTTTTTAATCCTTGCCATACAGATCACTCATAATGATCAAACTGTTCAGTTTATTAATGCCAACATTTCTCTCCTTACTGAACATATTTAAATTTGTATTTAAGAATGGTTTATATTAAAGTTAAGACTGGATTCACACTAGAAGAGCTGGATTTGGTTTTAGCAGCTAAGCTATGGTTGTCATGATGACAAGATCTATTTACTGTTCTACAGTGTAGTAGGCCAGTTTTACTGATTTGATCCTTTTTTACAGTTTTTGAATAGAAAACCAAAAGCAGCTGATTAAGATAATGCTCCTATGACATGTTTTAATATGGCATTGAAGGTACATAAAAATGTCTATGGACAAAAGTACAAATATGAAATTGCTTTCATGATAGACATTTCATTCATATGGTGTTTTATTTTCTTAAACGTGGTTAATTTTATAGCAAAAATATTAATGACACATTTTTCTTAAAATACTTTTAACTGTATGTTGGAACATACTTGTACTGTACATATGTTTTCTTATTGGTTAATTAAAGTGCCAATCTAAGGAGTCAGTTACACGAGTGCTTTTGTCTGTTTGCCAGTCTGACTAGCTAGCACTGCTAGTATTTCAAAATCAAATCTGGCAGTTCTAATGTGAATTAAGCCTTGCTTTCTACATAGTTGTGATTAATACTCTAGTAAAATCAATTTATACAATTTGTCTATTGATCTTGTCTTCAACAAGAAATTTCATCACAATGCATTGTTCCACACATGCATCAATTATGCTAGTTGCCATTTTGAATATTTTGCACCAGAGGCTAATGAGACACATACTTTATACTATTTATTAAAAGGAACATACTAAATAAAGAATATGTTAACTAACACGCCAAAATTAATTAATAAACAAAAACAAAAACACTGAGTTCGGCGTTATATGCGTTTTATTATCGCTAGTACTTTCGACGAGCTTATTGTCGTCGTCCTCAGGCGATTTAGACAAAAAATAATCGAACGCAANAAAATATTAAAAGTACGATTGTATCCTCTCCCTGTAAAACTAATGTATTTTAATTATTATTTGAGGATATTATAGCCAATTTTATGCTTAATTAAAATTGCTG